ATGACTAGATTGTAGGACCATGATGTAGTGAATGGGTTAAAAATTGTGGTCATGGGCGTGATTTAGAGGACTTTGAAAGGAGAGTGAATGAGGAGGTTAGTGTCTCTCTGTGCTCTGCCATTTTGCAATGTGATACCCTGCCATCATGTCACCAGCAAGACCTTTATCAGATGTGTTCCCTGCACCATGGACTTCCCAGCCTTGGAAACTGTAAGTAATAAATTTTATTTTCTTTATAAATCACCCAGTTCCAGGTATTTTGTTATAAGCAACAGAAATGGACTAAAACAATAGTTTATTATGGGAATGGCACTGGTGGTTTTATAAAAGGAGAAAAAGAGACCTGGGCTAATATGCTCTTGCCCTCTCACCATGTGTTACCCTGAGTCTCTGCCAGTAACAAGGTCCTCCTCAGATTTGCCACAGCAACCTCGGACTTACCAGCCTCCAGGACTATAAGAAATAAATTTCTTTATAAATTACCCAGTTTCAGGTATGTCCCGACCCGTGGGATATTCAACGCCGACCCTGGAGGGGGGAGTGGGAATGGGATGGAAGCAAGAGACACGAGAAATGGAGACAAGACAGTATTCTGATCTAGTCTCGTTTATTGGTTTGAAAGTTACAGCTTATATAGGGAAAAAGCAGGCATGCTGCAAAGGGTCTGGAATGTAAAGATATGATAACATCTTCAGGAGAAACAAAGACAGGACATTCAAAGTAAAGGTTGCTGCCCAGAATGTTTATGGTTAAACAGTTTCTGGAGAAGGATAAAAGGTCACTTGCAAATTAACTTGCATAGCAGGAGCAAGCAGTTTCTGGCACAAGCAGATTACGAGGCAACTGTCACATAAGTACAGCCAGACAAAGAGGAGAGTGGGGCTGCTCGCTCCCAACACAGGTATTCTGTCATAAGTGACAGAAAACGGACTAAGACACTCTCCAAGTGTACTCTCAGAAGGTAAACCTGTCTTTTAGTTGTGGTGATACCACAACTGCCAGCCCAGTTATTAAGTAAGAATGTAAGTGCTGGGCCAGCCCGTCACTCACTTGGGAGAGTGCAGTGCTGATAACACCAAGTCAAGGGTTAAGATCCCCTTACCAGTCATCTTAAAAAAAAAAAAAGAAAAAAAAAAAAAGAATGTAAGTGCTAAAGACATTAGATATCTGAAAAAAGCTTATTGACACTCCTCTCAGCAATAACCCTTATTCTCCATTCCCACTTCCCCCAAACTCAGCTCACAGTGACCAGTTACCTCTTTTCTGCCCACCCAATTCCTTCTTTGGTACAGAGTTCCTACTTCATTCTTCTCTCATAATTGTTTTGGGGTTTCCAGGGAGGACTTATCTTCTTTCCATATCTCAAAGGTCCATGCATAAGAAATAAATAGGCACTAATTAGAAATTTACTATTAGACCAACCTTAACACCCACTCAACCTAAGAATCTTTGAAATTTGTTCTGTGCCCTTTTATTCAAAGTATGCTAAACCCCTGCACACACCCAAGGGTGAGGGCTGAATGGGTCCTCTTGCCCTAGAGTGGGCCATTCTCTGAGATGCAGAGGGATTCCCCCCTCGGTTCTTTTTTTTTTTTTTTTGTCCTTTTTTGAGACCGGCCGCACCGCGCTCAGCCAGTGAGCACACCGGCCATCCCTACATAGGAGCCAAACCCGCAGCGGGAGCGCTGCTGCGCTCCCAGTGCCGCACTATCCCATGCACGCCACGGGCTCAGCCCTCCCCCTCAGTTCTCAGATGATTCTGCCTCTTGTAGCAGCAGAAGCTAGAGGTAATTGTATCTTGGCCTAGTTAAAGTTATGAGCCCATTCCAAAAATCTGTCCTGCTCACTCAGAGACCAGATACCACTGGCCTCCTAGATCAGTAGGCAGAGTTCAGTCTTTGAAGTGAACCATTCCATGTTTTGGACTCTGCTTTCCTACCAATATCAGCCAGAGGAACTCTTCTCCCTGACCTGGCTCTATTTGGGCCTAGTTCCACTTTGGCTCATTTGTTTCCACACCTGGCCTCAGATACCTTGTTTAACTACTTCCTATATGCTTCTGGCCTGGGCTTGCCAAGGGAATGCCCCAAGAGCAGCTTTACCTATTGTTGTCCTGAGAACCCATCAGTCCCTGGTTGAGCACTGGCACTGTACATACCTGCTCCACAGAATCTTCACACCTTTAGGTTTCAGCCTACTCACAGGTCCTGGGTTCCTATAGGCCATTTTCACCAAGGTCAGAAGCAAAGTTTTGCTTCAACAGGACAGTCTGCCTCCTTGTGCCTCCAGTGGCTAAAGACTCGTAAGCTTTTGTTTGAACTAGCTGATAGGCCAGAAGCCTAAGGATGAAATAAATCCTAGAGAAGTCCCCAAAGTTGGAATTTTTATTGGGGTCTGCTTCCTTCACTCCTGGTACTTATCTTGAGCCCTCCCCCCACCTACATTAGCAATCTCACTGAAAAAGACTCGAACCTAGAGGAGGTTGCAGGGTCCCATGTCTTTGAGAGGGCAGAGCACACCTTTTGTAAACACTGTTCACTCATCACCCAAACAGAGGTGAACAAAAGTATCTCCCTCCCAATACTGCCAAGCAGGGGAAAAATTGTTTTCATTTGGTTCAATTCCTCGAATTCACGTTTGAGGCCATAAACCAACAGGGATAAATGGAATCACAGGAGGAAATGACAGAGACCCAAGGACACGCATTCCCCTTGTTGGGAAAATAGAATAATTTAATCAGGTCCCCCTCACCTGCCCGTCTGGTTGGGGGTGGCGGTGCATTCTTTGTAAGGAAATTGCGTGTGTGTGGGTGGACTTAGTGCACCTGTGCAGCACCATGACTTGGCTGGCGTCTGCCTCGGTCGTCTGCCGTGCACGGCCATACTTTCCAAACTACGGTTCCAGGGACATTTTAGCCAGTTACCTAGCTCATAGACCTGTGTGTGAGGGGTCTGGGGACCCAACCTGGCGTGTGAAGGGTTTGTGACCCAGTCTGGACAATGGGCTTGGGGGGTCTGTGAGCTCCAGACCCAGCCCTAGCTTGACAATTGGCCCAATTGGCAGGATTACAGGCAAGTAAAAGAGCTTGACACCCCTCCAGCCCAAGTGGCAGATGGGATCCTATGTACACCGTATGATGCATCGCAGGCTGTTCACTGAGGAGGTGGAGCATTTTCAAGTGACCTCCTGAAGATGTGCCTGGGTCACTGCTATCAGAGTAGGTTAAGATACTCCTCCCCAGGTGCCATTCCTGGGGAGCCCAGACCTCCCTTGGTGGTCCAACTCTGGAGAATCCCTAGGGTCTTTCACCCCATCTTTCAGTGAACACAAAGCATGGCAGGGGGCAGCCCTCAGTCTGTGTCTCCGGACGGCAGCCTGAGTGCAAGATGCCGCCCGGATGCCACTCACAGCGCTTGTCCTGCAGAGCGTCCAGGCCTGAGTCATTGTTGTCAAGCAATGGGCTTGCTGCCCCGATGCACACAGAAAGCCAAACTCTGTGACACTGGCTTTTCTGAGAAGAAAGAGCTTTACTGTGTGGCCAACCAGCAAGGAGACAGGAGGCAAGCTCAAATCAAAGCAAGGCGAAGTTTTACACAGTTGGGAGTCAAGGAGCAGGGTAACGAAATGCGGAGTTGGCAAATTCCAGTTGGTCAAGCTTGGGGAATTTCCAGTCTCCCTCCCTCTTGGGTCCATCCCGCAACCATTTAGGGCACCGTTCGCTGCTGATTGTGGCCCGCGTTGCCTAGACCCTTTCTTTGGGTTCCGCCTGTAAGAGACTTTTCCTTCCGTGGGCAGGGCAAGGTTCATTGGGAGGTCATGGGTCAGCACGGAAGCAGTGACGCATGCGCTCTGTACAATACCTCATTCTGATCGGTTAGAAGAAACATGTAGTACAGATTGGTTCGGGCGGGTCTGGTCGGCGCCGGCTCCTCCCTCCGCGCACCCCGACTTCCCCGGCCCAGGGGCTCCGCA